GGCGGCACGGTGAGCCAAGCAGCAGGGTGAGAGGCAGTGGTCGCATTAGCTGCTGTGCCCAGCCCTGGGACTTACCTGCTCCAATGACCTCCTCGATTTTGACACAGGAGATGTCAATCTCTTTGGCGAATTCCCGGACGGCTTCGTTGGGATCCTCGTAGGTGAAGGGGTCAATGTAGACCTTCATCCCCGGGGTGACTGCAAGGGCAGAGAAGTCATCACCAGGAGGGACACAACGTGGGTGACAGATGCTGAGCCAGCTTGGCTGGGTGGCCAGTCATCCCTCCCAGTCCCAAGCTAGCAAGGGCTGTCCCTTCACACGTGCACAGGGCAGGAGCTGGGAGAGGGCAGGCACAGCCCGTTTGCTGGGCTCTCACACTCACCGTATTGCTGCAGCTTCTCCGTGTACTCGGGGTCCGTGCTGTTGCGTTGCTTCCTGCCCAAAGGAGACGAGAGGAGGTGTTCAGTAACCATCCCTTTCCTGATGGGGCAAAGACATTCGCTGCCAGATTCCAAATCCCAGCACAGGCAGTCTATGCCAGAGAGCTTCCCCTCCAGTAGCTTGTGAGAAGAGCCATCCCTCTGCCCGAGGTGCGATGGGAGAAGATGGCCTAGTTGTGCTGAGAGAGGATGGCAGGAGCCTGGGCAGAGCCCCAGCTGGTGCTGGGGAAACAGAGATGCGCAGTTCTCCCACAGGACCTGCGCTCTGTTACCCACGTGGGGCAGGTCCAGTCCTTCGGTCTCAGACTGGAGCTGCCAGAGCTCTCCCCACAGGCAAGGGGGAAAGCTCTGGGGCAGACATGAGCAACCCCCAAACCCAGCTCTGAACCCCCTCTCCCTGTGAAGCCAGTACCTGAAGCAGACGATAGCGATGATCACCACAACGATGACGAAGAGCAGCCCCGCGGTGGCTGAACCCACGATCAGAGGCAGCTCCTGGAAAGTCTTGCCAGTGGAGCCTGACAGAGGGAGAGGCAGGAATCAAAGTCAAGCTGGGGAAGGACCACACAGAGGAGGGTTGAGGGATGGAGGCAGCCTGGTCCTGGTACCCACCATCCTCCGCAGTTGTCTGGAACTCCGTGGGGAGGCTGTAGCGGCCATATCCAGCCACTGTGCGTGCCCGGACCTGCACCATATACCGAGCGTTGGCCTTCAGCCCGTCCAGCCGCACAGAGTTCTTCTGACTGGTGACCGTGTTGGCAATGCCATCGCTCTGGCCTTGCTGTAGGGGAGACACGTGGGTGTCACCTCTGTGAAGTGATCCCCCCCTTTGCTTCCCCTCCATTCCCTGGGCAGGGACCCTCTTTGCCAGAAGGGTTGGAGGAGGGAAAAGGCTGCTCTCCTGCTTTACCTTCTCCGAGTACTTGATCTCATAGTCGAGAATGATGCCGTTGGGTCTCTCTGGGGGAGTCCACGACAGCGTCATGCTGTTCCCCGTGCTGCTGTGCAGGTGCATCGTAGGCACGGCAGACGGGGCTAGGAAAGAAGGCAGAGGAAAAATGATCCACCTGTGCCAGGCTCCCCACTCCACCATCCTGCATTGGCTTGGGGGGGACTCTCTGCCTGGAACCTGCTCAGATAACCCTGGTGGAAAGGGCTGGAAAAACTGAGACTAGCCTCCCACAAAGGTGCGAGAGAGAGGTGTGATCTCACTGTCTTGCAGCCAAGGTAATAAGGGACCAAGGGGACTCTCAGAAATAGCATCGAGGTAATGCTTTGCCCCATGCCTAGCTGCAAACTGGTCTGGGGAAGGGCCCTGCCAGTCCAAATGAGGGCTCCCTCCCCTCCTCCACTTGCCAGGAGCTCCACACTCCACCCCACCGACGAGACCCATGAAATCAGATCAGAGCGTGGCGGCTGGAGATTACCAGCACGCTGGAGCCGGGCCAGAGTGGGAGGAAGGAGGGAATGGCAGAGCTCTCATCTGGCTGTGAAGGTTTGGGCTAGTGCTGAGCCTTCCCAGGTTCACAGGGGAGAAATCTCATTTCCTTCCTCCTCCCTTCACAGCAGGCACAACATCTCTGGGGTAGGTCTAGGAGATCCAGAGCTCTCCGGAGCATCTGCTAACCCTGCCCTTCTCTGCTTGCAGGCGTTCTGATCTCATCTCCTCCAGGGACACGCGTTAAATGGAGAAGAATTCACCCAGGGGATTAGATGCAGGCACGGAGAGCCAGTAAGGCGGCAACACAAAGGACTGCAGCCTCCAAGGCTGTCAGCAAGAAATCCCCACTCCGCTCTGCAGCGGCAAGCCAGCCCCTGCTCGCCAGCAGCTCCACTGACCTGCCTGGTTGGTGGTGATGTTGACAGAGGCGAAATGGGGAGGGTAAGGGCTCTTGCTGGAGATGCCATTGACAGCCTGGATCTCGAAGGTGTACTGGGTGTGGGCCATCAGGTTGCTGATGTAGATGCGACGCTCGGTGAGGCCGAGCTGGCGCGGCACGAACTCCACGTTGTCGTCGCAGCGGGTGCAGAGGCGCCGCTCCACGCTGCACTTCTTGCAGATGACGTTGTAGAGCAGGTCGTCCCGCCCGCCCGTGTCCTGCGGCTCGCTCCACTCCAGCACCAGTGACGTCTCGTTCACGTTGGAGATGGCACTGCGGGGGGCAGAGGGGACGCCTGCCGGGGAACATGGGGGTCAGGGATGGTGTGCCCCTGTGTCCAGCTCACCTCTGGCATGGGCACAACACACTCCCCCCACCCTGGGGACAGACCCCCACTGCCTCCACAGCTCCCCTCGCCTCCCCTCCTCGCCCAGGGCAGGACTCACCGGTGCAGGCGCTGTCTGCAGGGTCCGTGTCCGCCCGGAAAAAGCCATTTCGACACGTGCAGACTGTTGCTGCTCCAGAGGTGGTCCGGCTGTTGGGAGGGCAGGGAGAGCAGGGACCTTCCCCCTGCTTAGATTTGAAGGTTCCTGGGCCACATGCTGGAAGAAAGAAAAACAGACCTGAGTTATAAAGTGCACCCGGAAAACAGCCACTGTCCCAAACAAAGCTGGACAGACCCTTCCTCACTGTCCTGCCAAATCTCCCATCGTGGCTTTAGGACCACATGCCACCCACAAGCCTTTCCACTGCTGTCAGCTGTGCCCAAGGACGCAGTGTCCCTGGCCAGGCAGGGTGGGTGAGAGCGGGCTGCTGGTGCAGGGCAGGCAGTAGACTGGGAAGAGCTGGTCCCCACCAGCAGCACGGGGCTGAGGGCAGGCCCAGACAGAAGAGCACATCCTCAGTTTTGTTTCTTCACTGCACCTGCCAAGGGCTTTGCCATGCTCCCTTCCCCAGCTGGTTTCCAGGACCAGCACCCTCCATAAGGTCAGCAATCCATTCACCAGGGAAATAAGGCTGGGAAGGAAAGGACCCTTCAAGCCCTGCCTGCAGCAGCCCCTGTGAGAGCCCCTGCCACCCAAACTGCAGCCGCTCAGCCCCAAACCTTCCTCCGTGGGCTCTTCAGCCACTTCTCAGCCCCGGAGTGGTGGCACCTCCTGGGGCCAACTCAAGTGGAGTGCTGAGAGATTAAAACATTCCTGCAGGTCCTTGGCTAAAGAGCTGCTTTGGCATTGCTGCCACCTCCTAGGCCCGTTTCAGATCAGGCTCCTTCAAGGAGCCACAAGTCCCAGGATCCATCCCGGCTGGCACTGCCGGGCGTTCAGTCGTAATGAGGGGCACGTGAAAGGATTAACAGCACTTGAGCCGAGGAGCAGAGCAGCCTCAGGAACCCAACCTGCACCTCGAAACAGCCTGATTTATCGCAGTGCTGCCCCAGGGAAGCGGGTCCTGTGCTCTGTGCTTGCAGCCGGATGAGGTGGCAAAGACCCACCAGCACCAGCTCTGCTTTGGTGTCACCCCGTTTGCCACAGCCGTGGCAGCGATGGCCCTGAAGGAGGGTACATCCTCCTCACTCCGCCGGGGTTAGGGAAGCTCCTGAGGGCACGTAACCCTCCCAGCAGCCCTGTCTCACCTCCCACGTCTGCCACACATCACCCGTAAACAGCAGGAGGTTTTCTGGTGCTTCACCGGGCTGTGGCAAGCGGAAGTTTCCTGCTATGAGGCATCTCCCGACATCCTCCGTGGAAGTTTTCCGGCTGGTTGCATCCATACATGTGGGGCGTGGAGCGCTGCTGAGTCACACGCTGCTGGGTTGGCCCCACGGGGACCCACACACAGCCCAGGGTGCTGTCCTGGCCCCCTGGTTTGCCTGGGCACTGAGTGG